GGCAAGCGCCGACTTCGTGCTAATGATGAGAGCATGTCATGCGCGCTCTTATGGCCAATTCAGAGCAATTACAGTTTCAACATCGATGCTGTTTCACAAAAATGTAAAGCCCTCAATTTTGATGACTATATCAACTGACAAGGGAATGCTGTTCCGACGGGCTTACTGATAAATGGTACACTTGCTGCAACTGTCTGAATATGCCAAGAGACATATGGGCGTTTTTCGCTATTATCATCAGCTCTGAAAAACATCTATCCATATTCCTGAACCAATGAATGCGTGAAAGAATGAATGAAAGAACGAATGAATAAATGAGTGCATGAATGAATGAATGAGTAGGTACATGAATGAATGTTTTAATGAATGAATAAATGTATGATCGTTTGTACAGATAAACCAACCAACGAATGAAAAGGTAATGAATACATCCGATACTGCAGGTGCTCAAATACCACGAGCTGTGACCAGTTAAATGACCCCTTATGCAACTAGGAGTAAGAGGCCAGTGCAATCGGTTGTGAAATCTGACCTTGGAGGAGTTATGTGCCAGTGAATGAATGAATAAACAAACGTGTGAGCAAGTTACCAATTTAACGAACTAATTTAAGAATGAAAGAGCGAACAGCTGGTGGAATGAATAAGTGAATACATGAAGGATTAAGTGATAGGCAGTAAATGAACAAATTAATAGATTTTTAAATTCGCTTTCTCATCTCTTTGCATCAAGGACGACGCCGGGGATCATAAAAGAATTCCACGCTGCGAGAATAAATGACTGTTCACTCTTTTAAGTTTACAACCGGACAAAAGGGTGATAACAAGGTTGTACAGTATTCTGTTTCATTGGCGTTACAGAATGCGGCAAACATTTGCAGTTAAATATTGGAGCTGTAGCGCATTATCACTGAATTACATTTTCACACCTTTTTGCTCTATATTAAAGGAAAAGACTGCATCAGAGATTCAACGTCATCGTTCATATTCATTCTCGACAGATCGTTTCTGTAAAATAGAAATTGATTCACCAGTACCCAATCCATAATAAGCAACCTCTTGCTGTCAGAACGTGATACTGTACTGTTTTTTTGAAGGAACAAGATATTGACGTACGTTTCAGTACTAGAATTATGCCACGATGAGGTATATACAAATAATTGAGTCTCATTCCCTCGATGAAAGACAGAATATTGCAGATCAAATGTGATAGATTTTTCCAATATTGCTCTATCTACTGCTTTAAACTCCGCCACTGCCGGTCCCAAACCCGGATGAGAAAAGAAGAGGGTTGGAGACTGTGGCAAGTCTCCGTAAAATTCAGCCACCTGCCACTCATGGTATTGACGCCATTGAAAATTATACCGGCT